TGATGTAACAGAAGAATAACAATCCACACAATTTATGGACGATTTTATTAATCATAAAACAATAATGTTATCTACTGACTAAATCTTAAGTCAGAAAAACTTTAGAGGAAACGTAAATTGATTATATCTTGTATAAAGTACCATTGTTATGAAAGTCCACATATGTAAGAAACACTCCGCATTTTATTTTGTATATAGCAACGTCATCCGCATTTTTTGTATATATAGCAACGTCATCCGCATTTTTTACTTCAGTAGATAAATTTACATGCTTACTTGTTCTGATGACGACCGTCACAGGTCGAAACCGGTCAACAAAATAAATTTACTGCTGCATTCTCACGAAGTGTTGGTGATCTGTTTTATACTTTTAAGTTTATAACTTTAGTTACAGACCCTATTGAATACCTTTCGGTATCCACACGTGAGAATCTTCCGCAATTTTAACCTCAAGGTGTTGGTCTCCAGCTTTTCTTTGTTTTGTATTCTACATTGTTACTGGGACCCCTGCATACCATAAGGTATCCACCATTCCGAACTGCGCTATACATTATGGCCACCAACTCCATTCCAAAGTTACAAGAATCATATAACCAGAAAGTGAATGAATCTCTCAAGGTAGACATCAGTAACCCCAAAAAAAGATTCCGCAATTCTTCACAATCCGATACGGATATAGAATATTCAGAAACAATTAACAAATCTCAACAAGAAACAGCAAGGAAAGAAACCTCTATTGCAACATCCGATCCAGTGGGATCTTCCGAGAAACCGAAAATATCAGAAGAAAATGTTGCCATTTTTAGGACACTCCGAAAACTTCATATCAAACTCCAAAGAACTGAAGGTCATGCCGCATACCCAATAAATGCCAACAACAGGACCTAATATCTAAAACACTAAGAGCCAGAATTGTTCCACAAATTCCAGACAGTAATGCTTTATTTCTCCTAAACTGGGAGGAAGCACACCTTAATTTTAGCCGCAGCCTCATCCACTTACTTTATGAATATTGGAATACGAGAATTAATACGATTAATACACAAATACTTGATTTAAAATCCCAGCTTAAAAACAAAGAAAATACTAACGAAATGGAACATATAAACAATCTATTAAGTGCAATCCCAAACTTTATGAAGAAGAAGGAAGCCGATAAGGAATCAACAAAAGCATTCAAGGACAATAAAAAATCCCAGTAATTGTTATCTACACCCCCCCCCTTATGTAATGGACGAATTGTAGCGAGGATCTAAATACCTTCACGTTTCGTCTGAACGAATTTCATCATAAAACTACAATGAACTTTTGAACATTCTATAGAAATTATCTTTGTTTATATTTATACATGTTAATTATTTTAATGTAATTTTATGAACAATTATTGTCCTCCATAAAATAGGACTATTCAGAAGTAGAAATTTATGAAACCTAACTACATTTTATATTATCCCAACATTTATAGGAAATGTAATCTAATGTCCACTTGTATAATTTTACGTACTCTATATACATGTACAAACCCTCCGTATTTTTTTTCCATTGTGACGTCACAGTCTACCAAAACAGCTTGATGATGTAACAGAAGAATAACAATCCACACAATTTATGGACGATTTTATTAATCATAAAACAATAATGTTATCTACTGACTAAATCTTAAGTCAGAAAAACTTTAGAGGAAACGTAAATTGATTATATCTTGTATAAAGTACCATTGTTATGAAAGTCCACATATGTAAGAAACACTCCGCATTTTATTTTGTATATAGCAACGTCATCCGCATTTTTTGTATATATAGCAACGTCATCCGCATTTTTTACTTCAGTAGATAAATTTACATGCTTACTTGTTCTGATGACGACCGTCACAGGTCGAAACCGGTCAACAAAATAAATTTACTGCTGCATTCTCACGAAGTGTTGGTGATCTGTTTTATACTTTTAAGTTTATAACTTTAGTTACAGACCCTATTGAATACCTTTCGGTATCCACACGTGAGAATCTTCCGCAATTTTAACCTCAGGGTGTTGGTCTCCAGCTTTTCTTTGTTTTGTATTCTACATTGTTACTGGGACCCCTGCATACCATAAGGTATCCACCATTCCGAACTGCGCTATACATTATGGCCACCAACTCCATTCCAAAGTTACAAGAATCATATAACCAGAAAGTGAATGAATCTCTCAAGGTAGACATCAGTAACCCCAAAAAAAGATTCCGCAATTCTTCACAATCCGATACGGATATAGAATATTCAGAAACAATTAACAAATCTCAACAAGAAACAGCAAGGAAAGAAACCTCTATTGCAACATCCGATCCAGTGGGATCTTCCGAGAAACCGAAAATATCAGAAGAAAATGTTGCCATTTTTAGGACACTCCGAAAACTTCATATCAAACTCCAAAGAACTGAAGGTCATGCCGCATACCTGAATAAATGCCAACAACAGGACCTAATATCTAAAACACTAAGAGCCAGAATTGTTCCACAAATTCCAGACAGTAATGCTTTATTTCTCCTAAACTGGGAGGAAGCACACCTTAATTTTAGCCGCAGCCTCATCCACTTACTTTATGAATATTGGAATACGAGAATTAACACGATTAATACACAAATACTTGATTTAAAATCCCAGCTTAAAAACAAAGAAAATACTAACGAAATGGAACATATAAACAATCTATTAAGTGCAATCCCAAACTTTATGAAGAAGAAGGAAGCCGATAAGGAATCAACAAAAGCATTCAAGGACAATAAAAAATCCCAGTAATTGTTATCTACACCCCCCCCCCCCCTTATGTAATGGACGAATTGTAGCGAGGATCTAAATACCTTCACGTTTCGTCTGAACGAATTTCATCATAAAACTACAATGAACTTTTGAACATTCTATAGAAATTATCTTTGTTTATATTTATACATGTTAATTATTTTAATGTAATTTTATGAACAATTATTGTCCTCCATAAAATAGGACTATTCAGAAGTAGAAATTTATGAAACCTAACTACATTTTATATTATCCCAACATTTATAGGAAATGTAATCTAATGTCCACTTGTATAATTTTACGTACTCTATATACATGTACAAACCCTCCGTATTTTTTTCCATTGTGACGTCACAGTCTACCAAAACAGCTTGATGATGTAACAGAAGAATAACAATCCACACAATTTATGGACGATTTTATTAATCATAAAACAATAATGTTATCTACTGACTAAATCTTAAGTCAGAAAAACTTTAGAGGAAACGTAAATTGATTATATCTTGTATAAAGTACCATTGTTATGAAAGTCCACATATGTAAGAAACACTCCGCATTTTATTTTGTATATAGCAACGTCATCCGCATTTTTTGTATATATAGCAATGTCATCCGCATTTTTTACTTCAGTAGATAAATTTACATGCTTACTTGTTCTGATGACGACCGTCACAGGTCGAAACCGGTCAACAAAATAAATTTACTGCTGCATTCTCACGAAGTGTTGGTGATCTGTTTTATACTTTTAAGTTTATAACTTTAGTTACAGACCCTATTGAATACCTTTCGGTATCCACACGTGAGAATCTTCCGCAATTTTAACCTCAAGGTGTTGGTCTCCAGCTTTTCTTTGTTTTGTATTCTACATTGTTACTGGGACCCCTGCATACCATAAGGTATCCACCATTCCGAACTGCGCTATACATTATGGCCACCAACTCCATTCCAAAGTTACAAGAATCATATAACCAGAAAGTGAATGAATCTCTCAAGGTAGACATCAGTAACCCCAAAAAAAGATTCCGCAATTCTTCACAATCCGATACGGATATAGAATATTCAGAAACAATTAACAAATCTCAACAAGAAACAGCAAGGAAAGAAACCTCTATTGCAACATCCGATCCAGTGGGATCTTCCGAGAAACCGAAAATATCAGAAGAAAATGTTGCCATTTTTAGGACACTCCGAAAACTTCATATCAAACTCCAAAGAACTGAAGGTCATGCCGCATACCCAATAAATGCCAACAACAGGACCTAATATCTAAAACACTAAGAGCCAGAATTGTTCCACAAATTCCAGACAGTAATGCTTTATTTCTCCTAAACTGGGAGGAAGCACACCTTAATTTTAGCCGCAGCCTCATCCACTTACTTTATGAATATTGGAATACGAGAATTAATACGATTAATACACAAATACTTGATTTAAAATCCCAGCTTAAAAACAAAGAAAATACTAACGAAATGGAACATATAAACAATCTATTAAGTGCAATCCCAAACTTTATGAAGAAGAAGGAAGCCGATAAGGAATCAACAAAAGCATTCAAGGACAATAAAAAATCCCAGTAATTGTTATCTACACCCCCCCCCCCCCTTATGTAATGGACGAATTGTAGCGAGGATCTACATACCTTCACGTTTCGTCTGAACGAATTTCATCATAAAACTACAATGAACTTTTGAACATTCTATAGAAATTATCTTTGTTTATATTTATACATGTTAATTATTTTAATGTAATTTTATGAACAATTATTGTCCTCCATAAAATAGGACTATTCAGAAGTAGAAATTTATGAAACCTAACTACATTTTATATTATCCCAACATTTATAGGAAATGTAATCTAATGTCCACTTGTATAATTTTACGTACTCTATATACATGTACAAACCCTCCGTATTTTTTTCCATTGTGACGTCACAGTCTACCAAAACAGCTTGATGATGTAACAGAAGAATAACAATCCACACAATTTATGGACGATTTTATTAATCATAAAACAATAATGTTATCTACTGACTAAATCTTAAGTCAGAAAAACTTTAGAGGAAACGTAAATTGATTATATCTTGTATAAAGTACCATTGTTATGAAAGTCCACATATGTAAGAAACACTCCGCATTTTATTTTGTATATAGCAACGTCATCCGCATTTTTTGTATATATAGCAACGTCATCCGCATTTTTTACTTCAGAAGATAAATTTACATGCTTACTTGTTCTGATGACGACCGTCACAGGTCGAAACCGGTCAACAAAATAAATTTACTGCTGCATTCTCACGAAGTGTTGGTGATCTGTTTTATACTTTTAAATAAAAAATATATATTAAAAATGTTTGCAAACATTACACAAACAATAAACTGGAAAGTTTCAAAGTATAAAAATATGTTCAGAATCATATGAACATCAAGAATATAACAAACAGTAAATATATTTAAGGATCCAACAGATAATTAAATTTTAAATAAGTATTTAGTGCAGGTGATGGGACATTCAAAGTCTCATACACCAAGACATAACATGCTTCTGGTCAAATTAAAATTGATATTTTATGGATTTATACAATATGAAAAAAGTTATGAGAAACAATTTGTTGTTTTTTTTTAAATGAAAGTCAAATCAATATGTTGACTGTTCATTAAGTATAGTATCGATAGTCTGTCTCATCATCATTCTTTGGAAGTATGGTATAAACTTGTTGATACAAACGTTTATAGGACCGTGAGAAGTAGAACACATAGAATCCCCATTTCCACGTCATGAAGCACCAAACACAGGTCAGGTAGTAGCCAGGGCCCTCAATGATTAAACCTAAAATGATAAATAGTACACAACAATCAGTAAAACTAAACTAGGTCTCTGAAGAGGAAGGAAGGTTCTGATACCTGAATTTCCAATAATGTTTCTATGTGTTTGATTTTCTGTGTACTGTTGTATATTCACATGTATTTAAGTTTCCTCTACAGTTTGATAAATCTTTAAAGTTCATTATAATTGTGAGGAAGCTGCAATGAATACTTGAACAGTAAAAAATTTAAACATTCCATTGTGTTGACAAAAGTAGCATTGCTCGAGTTTTGTCCTACCCTGTTTATTTACGATGGCAAGAGTAAGGTAGGTGACAAATCCGCACACCCCTGCCAGCTGTATAAAACAACCACTCAGCATCCATCTCTTCAGAGGGTAAGGGTTGTTCTCCCAGCATCGTTTGATGTATGCTATGTGTATAAATAATGCCAACCCTGCTGCTATTCCTGAAATAAAAACAAAACAGTATTCTTTCTCCATTAATTTGCTTAAAAATATGTACTGCAGTTACACCATCTTTGCCATCGTCGCAAGCCACAGGTTTTGTGTCCAAACAAACGTTTGTGGAAATAGAATGGACACAAAACCCCTGGCTTCCAACGATGCATCTTTGCAAGCCAAGGGTTTCAGATCTACTACCGGTACTCTTCTGATGTTCCTAGGGTTTTTAAGAAGAGCAGAAAATCAAAAACTCTTGGCTAGTGAAGATGCAGTTACATAAACACTGGTCCTACTAAACAGAGAACAAACACCTGACACATGTTTTGATGAAGAGGGCTGATATAGATTCACTAATAAATGAATTTACATTGACAGATTGGGAAGAAAAGTTGCTGAGGTAGAGACAAAAGATGAAAAAGTTAAATCAGTGACCATAAGGGAGAAAGGAGGGAGGACAATAGGATATGAGTGACCATGGCATACATGTGTACAGGGATACATTTGTAAAATGGATATATAATGTCAGGAGAAGTGGCAATTAACTTCATCCCATTAATTATGTGGTAAATACACTAAGCGGACTACTTCACACCCTTCACACCTTAAAATGTTCAGATATTTACTGACAGATCCTAGATGTCGGGTCAACCACAGGGGCATCTTATCCACTCTGTTCTCTACTTCACATATTATAAAAATACATGTGAAGTAGAGAACAGAGTGGATAAGATGCCCCTGTGGGTCAACATCTGGAACACGACACGTACCTGACAAAAGTCCCCATAAGGCCACGTTCCAGTTGTGAAAATTGACTCCAAAAACAAATAGAACGGACAAACCAACTAACAATCCAATGACTGCAAAGGTTATACGTGCCTTGATCCAAAAGGGGGAGGGTGGCACCGGTGGATTCATTTTCTCGTGGATTTACCTTACGCAATAGTTTCAATTTTATGGATTCCGATCCCGACTAGAATAATCTAATATCGTATTACTTAAAAGAAATATGACGCATACAAAGGATTTATAATAAAAAAAATTATATGATGAAGAGATCATCAAATTTCAATGTTTTTTTCTAATTTCAAGAGCATATATTTATTACTTTTCCTTTTATAACAATTTTTATTACCCCTTCTTTAACAGCATCCCGTTATCTAACGTCAAAAACACACGATTACCACGTCAATCTACCTATCAGTTAAAAATCGTTTTAAAAATCAGTTATTCAAAATTGTAATAAAATGCTTCAACCCTTAATTTCTTAATTTTGTTTAGTTTTATTTATTAAGTGAAAAAAATTGCTTTTAAACAATAAATACGCTTCATTTTACAGTGATGCGCGAAATATTGTGCAATCGAAATCCCAGTCGCTCCCCATAAAATCAAATAAATTCAACTCTCTTCATATTATTGCTTTTGGGGCTTTAGGAGCATTGGACCAATACGGATAGTAACATTTATAAAGAGAAACATATTGTGAAATTTTGGACTAAAATTTAGTTTACCAGGGACGTAGCAACAGAGGGGAGGGGGGGGGGGCACTTTTTTCCCCAACATTACCTTTACTATTGAAAATGTCCATTGAAAGGTTGGTTGGCAACCCCCCACTTTTTACCACAGTATAGTGATATCAAGGAAATTTAGCATTGTATATTGGAAGTGAAAGGAAGTTGGCCTTGAAAAAAGAAGTCCCCCCCCCCCCACGAAATAGGATTTTCTAGATTGGGCAATTTCCTTTTTTTTTTTTTTTTTGCTTGTCAACTTTTACAGGTTTGTAAAAAAAAAAATGTCTGGTTGCCCCCCCCCCCCTAACTTTCAAAAACGATGCTACGTGTCTGTTTACAACTATATAGAGTGCCATTGCTTAAAGATTACGAATATAAATTAAAGATCTAATGCAAGTCACTGAAGTCCAAAGTGATCTGGGTTAGGACTGAGGTCATGCAGACCCGTATGTTTTCTCAAAGTCGGTAACCATCATGCAAAAAAGATAGACAAGAAGACAAAGTGAACTGTCGATCATGTGCTAAAATGTGACATGGTTTGAAAGTTTGGTGGAAAAGGGGCTTCAAAATAATAATTTATATGGTAAATCTACATGCATACATCAATAGGACTTTTCTCAGACAAAGCTCCCCCCTTTTTCTAGTTATACCATGAACCTGTCAGGCGCCTCATGTTTTATTTATACCACTGCGAAAGTATCTCACTAAGTTCCTGACAAGACTCTTATATCGCTAATTAAACAGACATTACAGTTATGTATAAGGATTCAGTGTCATCATGTGTCAAATTATATAACAGTATACAGAGAAACAGAGGTCATCTATAAGATGCAAGTCAAGCTGCTTAACTACCGGTATTATATCTTTCCATTTCATGCCTTAAAAAGAAAGTTCGCGAGTATATTATTGTTATTTCTCTCTCTCTCTCTCTCTCCCCCCCCCCCCCCCGTCTGTCCGTCCGTCTGTCACACTTTTTATCGTCCTTAAGCTCCCTTTACACAATTAAAAGCAGTAGCAACTCAGTTTGGGAATATGATTTGTGGGCCATTGAACATTTGCCAATAGATTTTGAAATTTTAATTCTTACCCATGGGATCGAATGGGGGTAAAACGTTTTTCTGGTCCCCTGAACTCTTCGTGAATTTTTCACAGTAGCCCATTCATAAAATTGAATTATGACTGGGAGTATCCTGTGCATGCATGAACAATAATGATAAGGTTTTGGATTTTCGATTTTTACCCCGGGCGTTGGGGGGGGGGGGGTGTTAAGAATGACATTTATCTAGAAAACTCTTAATTCTTACATTATTTACAGTATGAGTAACCAACTTATCTTTTGAAATATGTTTAGTGATGTCCTGTATAGATATACAATCAGTTTTTATTAATTTCATCGCATCTAGTTTACCTCTTTTTAACTATCCCTTGAGATCTTATTCTTTAGAAATACCAAGTTACTTTGGGTAGTTACATCGATTTCTTTTGTTATTAATTTTAATGGATTCTTTGTGCAGCGTTATTTAATTGCTAGACAGAGTCTATACATTTAATTATACAGTTTCTCTTGTATGATAGGATTTATATCCGATTCTTTATTAGTCTCCCTCGGCTTAATCAGTGTAATAAACTCATGTCGTGCCGTCTTCATTTTGTCTCTGTGACATGTGGGCGCGGATTTTTCTGATGAAAAGATAAAAACAAGATCCACGCGTGAGTTTTACGACCGAGGCGTCGTGATGGTCAGTTTTTGGCCGGAGGAGAAATTCTCTGCGTGTCCGTTATGGTTTAGTCGCTGTCAAGTTTTTCCCTTTTTTTATCTATATACTAAATAGATTCGATTGTATGCTATAAAACCTCTTTGTGAATGATTATGTTTGTATTGGAAAACCATTTAAACCCTACAAACACACCCCAAACGGAGAAAGATAATATTTAAACCAAATAAGTAATACTAAAGTGACCTGAATTCCGCCGTACTCGGAAAGGAATTTCTGAAATACTATATAGGCAAGCCCAGTGGACCGTGACTGCAGTACATAGAAAATGTACAGCTGACACAATATACATACAAGTTAAGTGCACGGTGTAGGTCAGTTCTTCTTAGGTTTAAAATAGTACCATGTCAAAATTTAATACAATTGCCAAATTAATGAATGCGCGATGTTTCTCCGCGTATGAAGAAGGCAATGCATATTAAGTGACTGCCTGTATACAGTGACAGTCTATACAGAGAGGGACCTTGACGCGACTTTGTGGGTACGCTCTCCTGTCCTTTTATCCTTGGAAAAAAGAGAACCTACTTATCTATATGAGACTTACATATTTTTTTTTTCTTGAGCTTTTGGTGATACCCGATAAGCTTATTCATAGGAGAGACAGAAGCTTTGGGAGCGCGAGGGGAGTTATGAAACAGGTTTATTTGACGGGTGTGTAAAGCTGAGGTAGAAAAACCCCCGTGGGGCCCCAGAGGTAGGCGATTTCCATATGACATAGTTGATACATATCAATCAAACAGCGAAACGGACTGGATACTAGTACATGTCAGAAGATTTTCTGCTTTTACTTGTGATGTTTTAAGGCAAAAAAATCATATTATGTATGGATGAATTACCAATTGTGTACATGTAACAAGATACAATATTGTGACTACTGGAATTAAAGTTCTGTGTTTTTTTAATAACGCAAAATACTGGAATGTTATTTATAGGATAAGGAAACTGTCATGGATCGTGGATATATAGCAAAACGAGTGGAGGACAAAATACCCCTCCCCACCCCTGTTCCCCACCATAAGAGGAATAAGTTTCGAGAGACGACCCGCTTTTACCAGTTTGCGTTATTTCTGATTCCCCTGGGGACGCTATTTATCGCTATAGGCGTCCTGATCCCCCACTGGCTTGCCGTGCAGGTCGTTAACTTTGTTACCCTGAAGGAGGACTACAATATAGGACTGTGGGAGAAATGTGACACACTCAAGGAAAAATGTGAGAAACGGCTCGATACTTCCCTCAAAGGTGCGTTAATTAAATTAAACATTTCCATGATTTTGGAGAATAAGGTTTAATTGTGATAAATTTTTTACTATTTTTGGTTAAACTCATTGCCCCAGGATCCTATGAAATTGTCCGAGTTTTTAACCTTCGTAATTTTGGCTTTTGTTTTGAGTACATTTATAGACTTGCTATTATTACTGCCTCCATTATGCATACTTGGAATGTTGTGTATTTTTGTTATGGTTCAGATGACCAGTTTGGTAATTTAACTCTGTATAAATTTAGACAATGACTAGTAGAAATAGTTTCCTTATTGAATTCGTCTCAGTAGAATGGCTTTTTATGCTTATTTAATGAAGAATGCATAAAATTAAATTGCATTGAATAAGGAATGCTTGGTTATACTGCGTCCAGAACGAGACAAATGACGGGGAAATAACACACATACAATGGCCATCAAAGGTGTTGACAAATTAAGATGATCATGATACGGGGTATTTAAACGATGAAAATGGAAAAAAGACTAATCGGGCATTATATAGACTTGATCTGGCCCCATGGCCATAGATTCTGGTTACGCATCACCGTGTAATAGCGGAGGTTTATTCGCGTTTTCGCCTCGGAAGGATGGAATAAGTGTAAGAGGACGTAACTTTGCTCTAGCTCTAGTGACGTAACCCATGACTGCCTTTGAAAGGAGCCTATGAAATATGCTTTAAATGTTAGTCTATTGTTCTTGAGGCAGGTCTGAGTTGGGAAATGAAATAAAACCTTTATGTAAAATTATCTCTCTTTATCTTTACATCTCCATTGATTTCTGGGGTACCCAAAGGGGATTATTACACGATACATGTCGGTAGAGACCAGATGGACATAAATATCCCCCTAAATCAAATTGGAAACTTAATCAATGGCCATATATCATCCATAATTCACGTCCTCTTTAATTTAAGCTGTCGCTAGTGTTAAATGTCCGTCCAGAATGGAGCATTAAGGTTGATCGAATCGGAATTTGTGTCATATAGTCCCATAACAATTTATATACATATCGCATCGAATATCAGTCCCTGTTACAAAACAGGATGCTGGATCAGTATTTAGTTATAAATGGGCTTATATTGCTACTCGACCAACAGCATGAAACGTGCACAGGCACTTGGGTATGGACCCCCCCCCTTCCATTTTTTTTTCTTTTTAAATTTGGGGTCGAGTTATTTTTATCCTATTTTCGTATTCTAATATTCACTATATGTCATCAAGAATAAGAAAATAGGAAAACAGTGACTCGACCCGAAATTTAAAAAGAAAGAAATGGAAAAGGGGGGAGGGGTCCATACCCCAAGTGCCTGTGGAAACGTGTACGTGCAATGTACATGAACCTGATAGGGTTTGGGGAATGGTCGGTTAGATTTCGCACTCTAACGCTATACGTCTTTTGTCACCACCCGTACAATAATATCCTCATTGAATTAAATAATTATAAGATTATTTTTATAATCTAACTTCATCTTCCACATCCTCCATTTATAGAGTTTACACTGTGGTACCCTGCAAACAATGTCAAAATACTTCGATATTCCACTAAACGAACTCAAGAACATCTCTGATTCATTTATTATTGTGCGCGAGATCGAAGTGTTTGCATGAATCAGTGATTGATCATTAAACGATGGTCAACCTTAAGGAATGTGTCGTGGGTGTAAATAAACCTGGACTCTCTGACCGAGCCTAGTTAATTGCATCGATGACTTTAAAGTCCTGTTGTGGCCATGAATATGCATGAGGTTTTAGGGACGATCAAAAGAAGATTGTATTTACAAGACGCCGGATGTAAAAAGTTCATGTTCATTACAGTCAAATATTTATATAGTTACATAATATATGTTACATTTTGAATCTCCAATTTGACAGATAAAAGAAAAAGATACGGATAAGTCTTTTTATCAAATTGATGCACATAGCCACAAGATTCATAATGTACAGTTACCAACTAAGATATTAAACACTGAACAAAATCATAAACATTAATGAAAATTAGCGAAATTTCCAAGTTGCGCCATTTTTGCTACGTAATGTTGAATTTCACAACGTCAAAAGTTCACATTACATGTTCTAAATGATATCCCTTTATTCAACAACAAATGAAGTTATTTCTTGAAATTTATATAAAACCTTGTAACATATTTTCGCTTAGACACTCCTCATTTGAAGGTTCATGTTCTTTTTAAGCTCATTCAATATCTGTGGTCTAGGATAGACCCTGTTCCTTAAGAACCCCTCAGAAAAGAGCCCAAAAATTGAGACTGTCAAATGCAGAGGTCAAACTCTTTCCTTGCATTAATTATTGAAAATTTGTATACTGATTACTTCAAATCATATTTTATTTTATGCTGAAAATGCTGATATTGCCAGAATAAATTTCTGAAAAAATCTATCAGACACTTTTCTCAGAAGTTTGCTACACTAAGAGTCTCGACTTCACCAATAACATCTCCGCTTCTTAATGACTTTTGGCTTTCTGGAATACTGTGTCATTTATCGCATACTGTCCGTCCCTGTCCTTTAATCTTGTTACTATATCCTTCTAAGAAAGCTTCTTTTTTTATTTTGGAAAATTTATTTCAAGATCTTGTAAATGAAAAGAATGAATATTAGCGACGTAATTTGAAAAAAAGAACACAAACAGCTTTACAATTCAGCACTGAGTGTATTAGTCGAGTCCATTTCGAGAAATATCCAAATTATGACATTAGCGTTTATAGCACATTTAATCATTGCAAGACCATGATTTCCTTGACTTTTTCACATGGAACAAAAATGCAGGATTCAATGTTTAAAACGATATAAAGTTTGCAATAGAAATATGATAGGTAAGAAAAATAATGAGATCTCAAAATGTAACATATATTATGAAACACCCTGTACCTTAGTTTTTATGCTGAAGATCAGCATCATATTCCAAGGCCAAAAAACTGTACCTATTGAATTCATAGTATCATTCAATCTACATAGCTGTATGTATAGTATAGTTGATTAAAGAAAAACTCAACCTCCACAGTGTTATGAACTTCTCGACACAACTTTTGTCAGGACTTTTTAGTTTAATAAATTGACCGAAGGCTGACCCATAAAAACGGTTCAAAAAAGTTTGCAAACTCCCAAAAATTCTAATTAATAAACATTTAACCTTAACTATGTCAAAACTTGAAACAGGGGCGCTGAACCTTTCAAAGGGTCTAAACTGTTGGTATCCAAAGGAAGGTCTTCTCACAAGGAATACACATGTGAAATATGAAAGCCCTAGTGCTTACTGTTCCAAAAGATATGGCCAAGTTTAAAGTTTTTAAAAATGGGTCACACTCTAAGATCAAAAGGTCAAATTGTTGGCATCCACAGAAAGGCCTTGTCACAAGGAACACTCCTGTGAAATATGAAAGCTCCAGTGCTGACTGTTCAAAAGTTATGGTTTGGTATTTTTTTGTAAAAGTGGGTCAAACACCAAGGTCAATGTTAAGAGGTCAAATTTTGTGGTACCCAAAGAAAATGTCACAAGGAATACATCTGTGAAATAAGAAAGCTATAGCCCCGCCCACTCAAAAGTTATGGGCAAGGTTAAAGTTTTTGAGGAAAACAGACAGACGGACGAACAAGACAAAAACTATATATCCCCGAATCTTCGATCATGCGGGCATTAAAAAAGCGTCTCTATAGACTTCATGTTCGGTTTTGAATTTCATTCGTGTTCTAATAGCATACTTTACATGATGCATTTATATGTACATAGAGCAGGAAAAATATACCAGTGGTATTCATCTAGGTCTCCTTCTTTTTCTGCAGACTTTGAGTTCACTGTGAGGGCCTTTGCTGTGTCGGGTCTGGTTGTGTCGGTCGTAGCCTCTGTACTGATAGTCCTGTGTGTGTTCGTCCCCAGGGTCGCAGAGAGAACTTTGTTCCATGTACTCACTTCCGCATCCTGCTACCTTGGAGGTAAGTCAATTTCGCGGGAACATTCAACTGTTTCCAAGATGCAAATTTATTTCCACGAATGACAATTTTTCGTTTGATTTTTCAGCGTTCCTGTCTCTGTGCAGCATCACCATATACGCCGCGGAACACAAGATAAATAGGGCGTATATGTTGTCCTATTCCTTTTACCTCATTCTTTTTGGCGCGTTTTTTGGGATACTTTCCTCCGCCATTTTGATAAACGTTTATGTGTACAGGAAATGGAAATACGAGAAAAGGATGTTGAGAATTTCTCGTCGAGATGTCCATGTCCCGGGACAACAGAACACACGAGTGGCCAGTGATTACGGCGATGATCAGGACGACGTGCCGAGCGAGAAGCGACGATATAGCGACGACGATCGTTCCAGGTACAGCGACGAGATGTCCAAACAGAGCGACAACTTCTCCGCCAAACAAAGCGAGATTTGAAACGGGAACTTCATGTTTAGAATACAGATTAAGCCAAGGGATAGCAACATATACACTTGATTTAGTATGTGAAATCCCGAAATAACTGCCTGAAGTCCAAAGAAACAGGGATATTCATAGTGTATACCCTTGTGTGACCATTAATTCAATGCCAGCAGCATGTTGCCCATATTTTGTAGAATTATTCAGTATTATATACGGGAGCTATAGGAAAGATCGTGTAAAAAATGCCACGATTCTGTACGTGCATGTGTAGACACAGATTATACGGATGCGATGTGTTTTAAGTTACACTGTGCTGTACCCAGACGAAATGAGCTTGTAATGATTTTCATGATGTCTCATGTATTTATTCTTTGTATACTAGTATGTTACACAGACAATCCAAATTGGCTTGTCGCTGTATTTGACAATTTCCTAATACGTCCATACCTTTAGACAATATCTTTTTCTGAATGCAAAGTTTTTTATTGTTGCTGATAGCCGTTGAAAATCAACTCTTGGATGGGTTAAGTGATGTTAAATTCAATACTTCTATGTTAAGGGCTTCCGGGCTGTATGGCTTATAGATGGAGAAACAAAAAAATTCCATAAAATTTCAAGTGAATCTGAAAGATGATATTACTGAAATGACGCTGGATACCAAAGGCGGATCCAGGGCCGACGCGCCGGGTGTGCCCCCCGCCCCCGTTTGAAATTTAATATTTTGTATGTAAAATTTATATGTCCATTATCCTAAAATCAAGGAAAAAACATCTCTTATTTGTAAGAAAGTGTCAGCTTGAAGCCCCCGGACTCCCCCAAAAGGACCTTGCCTTAGACCCACTGGGGGCTTCAGTACGGCCGCCTTATCCCTCTGCCTTCTACTGCCCCCCCCCCCCCCGTTACGAAATACCTGGATCCGCCACTGGATACATCCCGGAGAATGTGCCCAAACAAGGAATTAATCTTACATACTTAGTTTGTAAAACTGTTTTCGTCATGTAAATATCTCTTTATGTATATACATATACATTATTATCTGCAACAGAGTATATATATTGGGCACTTATGACAACGATACGTACTTTTTTCTTTCTTGTATTATTAAAAGCATTTTTGTTCATTAATAATATCTAGAATAGATCTGATATTAGCAATTTGTATTTTACATATTTTGATATTACTACATTAACTTTTATTACTCTACTGAAACTGTTGCACACGCTCAACGCAATTTAATGAATTTATACCAAAAGTGTCATATTCATTGTGTTGTATAAAATTATACTGCCTATATATCATACATATCAAAATTGTTGTATTTTATTTATATATGTTATATGTCCAGTAACTATAATATTGGAGAATAATAAAACGAGAAAACATTTTGTAATGGTTATTTATTCAAAAAGGATTTTAAACCTTGTCCTGCAAGTACATGTACTAAATAATTTTTTTAAATACTTGTCATGCTTTGGGATACCCATCTCTTATCCACAACTCCTCTTCCACCACTATATAAAACTAGAGGCACTGAGAGCAATGATTTCACTAAATGATACCTCCCGCCTCCCATACGGTTGTATTTGCAAAGTCCCTGTTTTGCTTTGGGAAACCCGGAAGAGGCGTCAGATTAAAAAGTAAACTAGAGGTACTGTGAGCAATTAGCTCACTAAATGATACCCCCTGACTCCCATATGAATTTAATGGCAGTGTCCATGTTTTGCTATGGGAAACCCAAAATATGTGTCGGATCAAAAAGTAAAATAGGAGGTGCACAATGGCAATATGTAGTAAAGATTCTTTGAAAGTTTCATCAAATTTCATTCAGTGGTATAAGAGGAGTTGCGAAGAAGAGATGGGTACCCCAAAGCGTAACAGACGGACGTACAGACGGATGGACGGACATAACGATTATTATATACCCTCCCACTTTTCAAGTGGGGGGTATAAATAGGATGCACCAAGACATTATGTTATAAAGAATCGGTGAAATTAATATCTTTAATTCTATTCAATGGTTAAGGAGGAGTTGCGGATAAGAGATGGGTACCCTTCAATATTATAGAAAGAATGGCCGTGTCCATGTTTTGATACGGGAAATCCAAATAAGTCTCAGGTCAAAAAGTAAAATAGGAGATGCACAATGGCAATATATAACAAAGATTATGTGGAAGTCACATTAAATTTCATTCATTGGTGAAAGAGGAGTTGCGGATAGGTACCCCAAAAGCGTATGATGGCAAATTCCACGCTTTGCCCTAGGAAACCCGAAATAATTTTCAGATCAAAAAGTAAAATAGGAGGTGCAATTTGGTGTTATGTAATAAAGAATTGGTGAATTGGTGAAAGTATTAAATTGTATTTAGTGGTTTAGGAGAAGTTGCGGATAAGAGATGGGTACCCTTCAATGAAACATATGGAGATAACGAACAGTATTCAAGATCAAAAATCCATAAAACAATGCAAAATAGGAACAGAGCAAACACGGACCTCCAAAACATCAGAGGTGGAGTCAGGTGCTATGGAGGAGTAAGCATCCCCTGCCGACCGGTCACACACGCCGTGTGCTCCTTGTCATGATCGGGAAATAATGGAAAAATCCGTCGTCAATTCAGTATATAAATAATTGACTTACAATTAGTATGTTAAACGTCAGTCAGCATTTGACTCAATGATAAATTGTATTTGCTGACAAGGTCAATGTATCGACCATAGAACTTACGAAATGATTACTTTCAACGAGACTTCTGATATTCTTGTTTAATCAACTTGTTTGTCAATAATTTACCTCGCATGCTTTTGAGTGCCGAATCAACTGCGGGATATAAAATCCGTATGCAGGTGATGAAGATATATTGCTGCATAAGTAAGGGAAATTGACGATAGAAAAGTTAAAGTCATCACGTTTCATAGAGCTAGGTTGTTAAATTACCATTAACGTCTTTTTCAAGTGAAATATCAAAATATGAGCCAGATGGGTCAGACTCTGTGGTATCTTTTATCTCAAACTCACCACGACATATCGTATCGACATAAGAGTGGAAATTCAATGATCATCTTCTCATTAGTGGACAGGGAGATCTTCTGTTCTTGACACCAAGGTTCAGAGGGGAGCGGATGCCAATAATGATCACTACCTGGTGAAGACCCGAATCAGGCTACGGCCCAGCACACAAGAACAAGTAGAAACCAAGACTGGATGTAGAACGCATAAAAACAACGAAGTAAATAAAATCACAGTTCAATGACCGTGTGAGAAAGAAACTAGAAATACATAGGGAAAAGACGGAAGATATCGAGAAAATGTGGGAACAGCAGAAGATGGCATATGTGAATTCAGCAGAGGAAGTACTTGGCTACAGGAAAGGCAAAAGTAAACCTTGGATCAGCGAAAACACCTGGAAGTTGATAGATGAAAGAAAAGACATCAAGACAAAGATAGAGAGCACAATTCAAGATCAGAACGAGTCAAGACAAGGTTGAAGGAAAATTACAGGGAGAAAGACAAAGCAGTCAAGAAAAGTGCGAGAGGAGGACAAGAGGAGATGGATGGCAGAGAAAGCTGAGCGAGCACAGAAGGCAGCCGAGAACGGGAGGCAGAAGGAACTGTACAGCATAGTGAAACAGCTGACAAGAAAAAGTAATAAACAAACAGCAGTGGTGAAGAGCAAAGATGGAGAGCTGCTGAAAAACAAAGGAGCGAGGCTTGCCAGATGGAGGGAACATTTTGAGGAAGTACTCAACAGAGACACTCCAGAGTCACCACCACAAGATGAACATGATGAAGGAGAAGAGCTAGACATCTCGGTTGAGCCACCTACCACACAGGAAATAAGGACTGCACTGAAAAAGCTTCGGAATGGGAAGGCCGGTTTGTAGCAGATAAAATAACTGCAGAAATGTTAAAGACAGACCTTAATAAGAGTCCAGTCAGGAATTGAAGCACACCTTTGACCAGATATGGAAGGAGGAAAAGGTGCCCAAAGAATGGACCAACAGCCTAATCTGTAAAATTCCCTAGAGAGGCAACTTACAGGACCGCAGCAACTGGAGGGAAGTCACATTGCTGCCCCTAGCCAGCAAAGCACATACCAGTATCATCATTAACAGAATACAGGCTGGAGTTGACCGCACACTGAGGTAAGAGCAGGCAGGGTTCAGGAGAGGGAGAGGGACTATCAACCAGATCTTCATCCTTAGGAACATCTTAGAGCAAGTCAACGAGTGGAATGCTACACTGTACATCCATTTTGTGGACTTTGAGAAAGCTTTTGACTCGGTGCACAGAGACAACCTTTGGGTCATCATGAAGAAATATGGAATACCCAGAAAACTGATTATGATGGTCAAAGCCCTGTATGACAATTTTCAGTGCTCTGTGATTGATGATAACGTGACCACAGACCCTTTTCCTGTGAAACAAGGATGCTGGATGCCAGGCTTCTTGTTTCTCCTAGTGATAGACTGGGTGATGCAACAGTCTGTCAGAGGAATGAGAACAGGAATTAGATGGGACTTCACCACTATGCTTGAAGACCTCGACTTTGCGGACGACATTGCCCTATTGTCATCAGCAATGGACCATCTTCAGTCTTAGACATCAAAACTGGAAGAAAACTACGCAAAAGTTGGGTTGAAGCTGAATGCCAAGAAGTGCAACGTGATGAAGATAAATAGCAAGAGTGAAAGCAGCCTGACAGTCGGAAACGGCGAAGCCGAGGAGGTGGACAGCTTCACATATCTCGGCGCCAATGTCACCAAGGATGGAGGAAGAATTGCTGACATCAGGAAAAGAATAGCACTGGCCGGTGCATCCTTCAGCAGGCTAGCCAACATCTGGAATGCTACAGACATCAGCAGAAAGATAAAAATCTCCCTCTTTAAGAGCCTTGTCCTCTCTGTATTATTATACGGATGTGAGACCTGGAAGCTTACCAAGACAGAGGAAAAGAAGATTGACGTCTTTCAGACCAAATGCCTCAGGAGGATCCTTAAGGTCAGATGGCAGCAGCACATACCAAACAAGACAGTTCTGGAGATGGCAGAAGCAGAAAGCATCAGTGGCGAGGTGAGGAGGAGGAGGAGGAGGAGGAGGAGATGGATTCGGATCGGCCATGTGCTTAGGAAGGATCCCATGGATGACTGTGTTGTGGCCCTCGGGTCGACGCATGAAGGGAGAAGGAAGCGAGGTCGCCCCAAGACAACATGGCGACGGATGGTGGTGCTGGCTGGAAATCCTGGAACACGGCACGCCGTGCACCTCAGACCGACCCCAGTGGAAAAAAGATGCCCAAGCCTTGTGTGCCTCCTGGCACGGAGAGAATTAAGGTTAAGGTAAGGATTGTTATTTCCCGTTATCCAAGCATGTTTAATCAACATTTTTGCTGTCCGTCTGTCTATCTATCTGTCATCTTACCCTGGGTACCCTAAATCTTGACCCTTCAACCTTGACCTTAGAGTTTACTATTTCACGTTTAAAAAAAAAACTTTAGCCCTGGGCAAACTTTTGAACGGTTTTTTGCTTGTGCTTTCATATTTGTCAGGTATATTTATTGTGACAATTCAATCCTTTTGCTAACAACATTTTTTTTGTGTTTTGCCTTGGAATCTGACTTGAATTTGAGAAATTTTATCCTTTGCCATCAGCTGTCATACAGGATCATCACTGTTTTACAAACATACCTTGTTTTCGTACTGAATTTAACCTCGGATGTTCCGACTACCTGACCAATACATAAGACTCACGGCAAGTGCTACAGGACAACAGAGAATGCTTAATCCTCCTTGGCAACTGATCCCACCTCTGGAATTTCAAAGGTTCCGTAAGCTCGGGATTCGAACCCTCGAGGAACAACTCCTTACCTTAGAGCAAACGTCCTAAACGCTGCATGGTTACCTTTGCTTAAATGTTTAGAGGGTCATTTTTGCAGAAAAAAATTTTTGAAACCATCATAAAGGAAGTTGTGAAAATATGTGTCGAATGTTTTCTTATTATATTACAAATAGAATTTTATTTTTTCCCAGTAAGATTAATTCAGAATTATTTTAAAAAGAGTTGTCGTTCATTGAACATTTTAGTCACTTAACGGACTAATAATGTAAAGGGAACTACCATATTTCAACTGGCACCCATTTTCGTAATTATTATGATTCCTGTGGAAGATCATTACAGATAATAGGTCAAATATGAAGTAAAAGATCCTGACACTTTGGCAAAATTGATCAAAAGTATAAGATAGATGATGAAATCCGGAGTTAAACGGTCGAGGAACAATACGAAAAACATCTAGCTCTCTGTCTTCAATAATTCAGGTGAAAAAAAACAACAACATTTAGATTACAAGATTAATATGTACTGTAGAAGGAAATATTTGAGAAATAATGTTAATCAGATGCAAATGCTTTAAAAAAAAACTCCAGGGAACTTTTGAAATCACAAAAATTTAACAAAATCGAAACTTTATACAACAATTGCCCACAACAAATTAAAGATAAGGCTTTTTGTTGTCGTAGACATCTGTCTGTTAAGTTAAAATGATACTGGTAGGTACTTTAAGAAATATGTTCCTTGGGATTGGTCATCTGCACTACCGAGGTTGACAATGGTTTTCGAGGGATGAAAATTTTCAATTTCAATTCTAATTTTCAAATATTTTTTTGAAATGAACATAAGTTAAAATTGTTCTTGTTTCTGGCTAATTTTAGATGTTTTTTAAATTCAGTTTTCGATTACTGTGCATAAAATACAGTAATCAGTTATAAAGAGCTACATATGCCTATGATATAATTTTATATTTGATAAAAGGAATATTCATGTATATTGTCATTTGTGGAGTGTCCTTATCTAGAATTCCAAGAAGTCTATGTTTCATCTTTGATTGAATCTTTGCAATGAAAGAATCAAAAGTATTATTGTTAATTAGTATCTTGATCTACTTCTCATCGTTGACGGAAGAAGCTTATATAGCTCACAGAGGTTAGACATTTTGTTTTAGTTCCGTTACCTCTACCTATATGAAATGAAGGGATGTGTTTTTAACAGAGCCGATTCGCCCGGGTGGTGCAATGGTTAGAGCGTCTGCTCTAGAGTTGCGAAGTAAGGAGTTGATCCTTACATCAAGGAATTCGAATCCCACTGTGGGACATGGAGACTGGTCCATAGGATAAGACCGTATAAACCGAGGTCCCGTGTCGCTGTAGGTGCTGGCACGAAAAACATCCCTCCCTGCTCAGTGGCCCTAAGTGCCAGTATAGGGGACAATTTGCAGCTCTCCACCGGCAAGTGGTGGTGTTTCCATGTGAATAAAAAAAATTCTCGAGAAGGACGTTAAACAACGTACTAACAAACAAAACGTAGCCGAAAATTTAGAAGTGAATTCCTATTTCCATGAAACAGTGCTAAGAAAAAGTGAAGAAAGGAAAGAACAAAATAAGGTGTTAACAACTTAACATGTTATTGACTATTTTTTGAAACGGGGTTTCTATTAAGAAAAAAGAGACGGGGGCCTTGTTTTGCAGAAATAATTTGAAATACCCAGGTAGATTGAAAATCGAGAAAAAGAAGAGGAAATCTTCTATGGCAAAAAATTATAGCAATTGATAAAAAGTCAAACGGTTGTTTGTAAATATCTTTCATTGTACATGCGTGTTTAGTTGCAAAAAATTTAAATGTTTACTTTCGTTTTTTTATGTTGTGAGTATTTTACTTTCGTTTCCCTTCATTTTTACTTCTCTTTCCCCTTTTTTTATGTTGTGAATATTTTACTGTCGTTTCCTTTTAACGTTGTGAGTATTTTACTTTCGTTTCCTCAGGCAAGTGCCCGGATGGTTATCAGGAAGGAGACAAATGGCCATGGGGTGATACATGCGCAGTATGTTCTTGTTATACCGATCACTGGGCGTGTGAATCGTAAGGAATTATTTTTTGTTGTCAAAAATATACAAATATTTAAATTAAGACTATCTGAAAGACACCAATTTTTGATTTTAAAATTTTGAATAATTTTACTATGTCTCGAGGTAAGCATGTCTGTAGGACGCAATCATTTTAACGATACGATAAACTACATGTATCTGTAGAAAGTAAAAAAATTGATCACTACATAAATGATTTCAGGGATCCAATTAAAAAAATTATGATAAGCCCGAAACAATAATTTACCCCTTTAAGTTTTTATTTTTCAGAAAGGCATTTATTTAATGTGGGTATGAAATTCCTTTGGTAGATGTGGAGTTCCACTTCGTGCTTACAACTGCTATCTGGAATCGAACACAGACGCCCTGTATCCGGGATGCTGTCCTCAACTAGTTTGCAAGGGAGATGACAACTTTAACCAAACTAAATTTACTATCCTTGGATAATAAAGCATTTTACAATGTTATTAGAGATTTATCTTTATTTTCAATGCAAAGAGGTCATTATTTAGTCAATTTTTTTGTAAATTTGATTAAAAAGTTGATTTACTCATTAATATGATTTTGCTTCATTAAAAAAGGTCCTTCAATGTACATGTAACAAAATGGTCCCTGGTATTTAGGGGGCCAATATTTTTAAATTGTTCATGGATTTTTTTGTTTTGATCGGTTCTTTGTCTTTGCATTTTGCATTTCTTGACTATCAGTTTATGATGATATCAAAAATAGTTAGGATGCAAATATTACTATTAGATGAAAACATGATATGTTAAAATATATCCAAATACAGGGATAGAAATAATGATACAATGTGAATGAAAATCTTTTTCCAACATTTTAATCCAGTTTTGACCATTTTGTTTGTTTGTTTGTTTGTTTGTTGTTTAACGTCCCTCTCGAGAATTTTTCACTCATATCGAGACGCAATTTCGTTAGAAACATTTTGTCCTCTTTGCTAGATACATAGGGGGAAAAATCAACCGCCTTTAATCAACGAATCACTTTATACAACAATTTAGGAATCTTTACTAATCTGAAACTACCTATGCAAAGACTTACTTTTCACATGTCTCTGGCAACAGCATATAAAAAATTCATTCTTATAATTACAATTTTAAGAAGAAAAAAATATCTTTATAGTTTATATCCTGTACATATCTTGTTTCATTAAGTGACAGTTTATTTTCTCTGACATAACTTATCTTATACGACTGAACTACTAGTGTTTCTTACATATAATGTAATTATGTAAGTTATTTTAAGAGTTAACGCTAAATTAATGTAAACTTTCCATATTCAGTCTAAAAAAAGGAGCAAATAAATAACCGGGGTATTGTTTAAAACAATGACCATTGTATGTCATATACAGGTCAGGTGATAGTACAAGTATAACTTTCCTATGATACCTAAAAGAAATCGACACATCATTGGAACAAATAAAGACATTTAAAAAACAAGAGATGTTTGTAAAACACTTATGCCCCCTCCCCTCAAATTGGATTTTTTCTAAGTACAAAAGGGCATAACTCTGTCTAAAATGGTGCAATCCTACCCAAAACAGAACTTGACCTAGATATTCAGCTGAAAAATCTGTATACTAAATTTCATTTCAATATGTGCAACCTCTGCAAAGAAAATGAACGGAAACGGCAAATAAGTGGAATTTTTCTAAGTCCAAGGGGCACAACTCTGACACAAATGGTGCGATCGTACCCATAACAGAACTTGACCTAGATATTCAGCTGAAAAATCTGTATACTAAATTTCATTTCAATATGTGCAATCTCTGCAAAGAAAATGAACGGAAACGGCAAATAAGTGGAATTTTTCTAAGTCCAAGGGGCATAACTCTAACAAAAATAGTTCGAGCATACCCAAAACAGAACTTGACCTAGATATTCAGCTGAAAAATCTGTATACTAAATTTCATTTCAATATGTGCAACCTCTGCAAAGAAAATGAACGGAAACGGCAAATAAGTGGAATTTTTGTAAGTCCAAGGGGCATAACTTTGTCAAAAATGGTGCGATCGTACCCAAAAGAGAATTTGACCTAGATGTTTACCTGTTAAACCTGTATACCAAATTTCATTTCAGTATGTACAACTATTGTGAAGAAAATGAACGGAAACTAAATGGACGTTATATACGACAGTCAAGTTTTCACACCACCAATCCAAATTGGTAGGCATATAAACTTTTGAGAAATCATAAATTATACAGATCTAATACTTCGTACCATAGTTCATTTCTATACGAAATAGTAGTAGAACCATGTATTTGAACCAGACTTATTGTGGAACTCTTCAGCATTGGAGGTTCAAACGAATGGGATACTAGTATTTCTATGAAAAATCAGCAACTTAATATTTTGTTGGATTTAAACCTTTTAAAGGTAAGAAACAAAAGTTTTATAGTGACAGACTTAAAAGGATGTCCAAAGGAAGACGTTGAAGCAAGCAGCTAATTCATTTCAGCCTGTAATGATTGAAACAAGTGTCGGGGCATAAAAGCCCAACTCACTTTGTGTGACATTGATCTGAGATGTTGAGGGACACCAGACCAAAATTTGTAGTCTCTTCGGCATCTCACTGCGATTAGCTTTCCATGTCTAATTTACAGTTCTGCATTATTTCCAAATGTATTTTTCAATGAAGTAGCCAGTCTCTTTGAAAATGGCTACTGGAAGCTATATTCAAATATTTCATATAAATCTTAATATTTCCATTTCTAATTTTTTTCTCTGTGATAACTCTTTGAAAGTTAGTGGAGTTGATTTTTTCATAATTCTACCAGAATGTAATATACGCAAATTGATAGGTCAGGAGCTGAGGCCTAGTACACATGTAAATCTTGTGCACGTCTTTCTGTCTGACGCTAAGGAGGCCAAATATGCATGTAAATCTTTGTGCGTCTTTGTGTTTGACGTCTGTGGGTGAGGATTATTGAAATTGGCATGGGAGTCCTTGTGTAATTTAAATCTATTAGTCTACATTTTTAAAATCTAAATCTACAATTTTATTCCACAATGAAATGGAAATACATGTATAAGGAATCACTGTCTAGTTAGTATGGTATGCCAGGGACATCAATGATAGTTGGAAACGTGGGATAATTTATGCATAACGGGCTTTGCAAATTATCCCACATTTCTGACTATCGTTGATGCCCTGGCATACTTTACTTACTAGATAGTGGCTCCTTAATACTTGATATCGTGATTACTTAACTTAGCTGAACTCTTTCGGGATGGAGGTAGGAAACGTCTTTTTTTCGATGGGGGCAAATGTGTTATTGAATACAATGTGTGAGCAAGATCGATCATTGTAGAATTTATAAGGACAGATAAGTAAAATGTTCTGGTTGAATACCTTGCTAAACAATCGCTGCACCAGCCTGATCAATTTTTGAGTGGAGCTAATCCTAAAATGTTACATTTTTAACGATATTTTTAAGTAAGCAGACTCTTCTAATTAAATTTTCATTGAAAATTGTCACATTTTAAAGCTGATAACATATTCTAAACTTTCCTAATTTGACAATCTACTATTTGGAGTTCAATCCTTGGCAATACATTGTACTTTCTGCAAAAAATTGTTCGAATCATTTGATTGTCACTACTGTCAAGTCAACAATGTCATGTGCCCCAGAAAAGCAGCAATCTTGTGAGATTTAGAGCTTTCTCGACTCCCCCGCATGAGAGCGGTAGTAAGTTAGATAACTGCGAGGTACTCACGATATTACGTATTGTATCAAATAATACAGATTTTTATTTATGATACCCTCTAGGCAGATTGTTTATTTATAACTCTTTATCAGAATGCAGTTTTTATAGCCTCCATAATTATCTGAACCACATGGGGATTTTTTGAAAATGTAGACATTTTAAAATATATATTGCTGTTTGAGTGCATTTACAGGCTAAAAGTCTATCTACCTTCGAAATCCTATTGTGGTCATTACTAATACTTTCTTTTAATATGTTTAAGTTTACCTGAAGCATGGGCTAAGGTGCACAGACATGTTCTTGTGTCGTTTCTCAAATCTTTTGTATTTTTTAACGTAGTGCAGATAATCCCGGCGAATGACAATCGTCCTCTGCATCTTCATTTTTTGTACGACTCCTGTCAAAATGCGACCACGGATGGACACATTTCCTGTGAAGGGACACTTCTTGTCAATGTAAGTTCCAAGAATGGCCTGAAAGTACAAGTTTAAATTTGAGAGATAACTACTATGTACAGTCCAAAATGCATCAAAACAATAAAATTAACACACAATCATTCTTTCATAATGATCTGCAATACAAGAAAGATTTGTCCAGTGGCAGTTTGTTCCATCTGCATTACTTTTTGATACTTGAGTCTCTGGACACAAACAGTACATATGCTACGTGGCAAAGATTTCCATCTTAGATATCAAAAATAGGCTGTAAATCAGCTTTAAAATCTATTTTGAAAAGTATGTCAACTGTCATGTTCAAAGGATATCAGATAGGAAACCATGGTATTTTACAAAAGGTTTTATGCTAAGCAAAAATTTGTGCAAACTTAGCAGTTTTCAATACATAAAGCATAACAGATGGACAGTCAGATTCAGAGGGGTAAAGTGATGCTCTGGTTGGATATAAAAAGTGACATTTATTATCAAGATTTTACTGCGAGCTCATAAAGCGACAAGCTAAGTTCTCGTGAGAATAATAACAAAAGTTCAACAGAACGTTAACTCGCCTTGATTTAATGGATATATATCTAAGAGGAATAGTAAACAAAACATTCTTCATTAACTTTCAGCACTTTTCAGGCTTCTTTTTGGTAATGCAACTTACAAACGACGTCATTTGAGTCTAGACACACCAAATGTTATTTGCTGTTTGATGAGCCCATCTATTGACTAAATTTCTATGCTGGCCCTAACGGTCACACCATCAACATATTAGCAGTTGTGATGTTACTTTTGGATCATTTGGACTGCAATGTTTGGGCTTTTAAGTCAAAAATTTATTTTTTAAAAGAAACATCACCTGGTGGCATCTACTCACCACAAAATTTATGGTTTTCACTTGAATAAAAATTATGTCTAGCTATTATGAGCAATTATATTCTTTCTGGTTTTTACACTTGATGTTTACCTCTCTTGGAGTTTTGAAGCCTAGACCAACATTTCTGAAGTATCTATTATTCTTCTTCCCTTTGGCAGAGAGCAAATTCTTTTTGTTGTTTAGAAATACAGTGGGCTGTTTCTGAAAGGATCTCTCAGTCTGGAGAAAAACATTAAATAAAGTAAGTTGCATTCATATCAAGCAATCAGAGCAATTTCCTAACGTTATGGTATATCAACAAACATTGTGTCCCGTGCAATGAGTTCATGATGTGAATTTGTATGAAACTTTCATTTATTAATTAGATTCTGGGTACTTTGTACTAATGAATCAGTATTCATTAGAACAAGAAGGTATTTATGGGCATATCTGAAGAGTGTTCGGGTATAGATTTTATTCCAATATATTAAAATAAGGCAAAACTGCCTCGACACGTGCTGTAGTACCTGCTCCGCCATGATTGGCCGCAAGAAAAGACCGGAACACTGATGACGTCGGGTGAATTGCATTCTGGGATAGGAAGCGTACAAAGAAGATTCGGATTAAGGTCAAGATCTAGTAAATAACTTGAGACTAATATTTTTGGTGCAATACATTATGACGTCATAATCATTTTCAACTTTCTTTTTCCCGTACTTTACGGCTTTAGCAGAATTATGTAGAAAATATGGTATTTTCATGTCATTCAATTTGAAATCATATGAAAAATAAACCGGATACCTATATTAAATTTGATATTGATTTAAAGAAGAGGCCATTAACATACTAATTACCGTTTTCTGAAAGACTGTAGGCAATTTGGATACATTTCCTTTGCCGAATACGAAAAAAACTCCCATATTCCGGACTGGTTTTCTTAATTTTTCATTGAAAATGACAGTTTATAAGACAGTTTCTCATCTTGTTTACCTACAAATTTTACCCCGAAACACCTTATTTGACCAAGCTAAAATTGTAAAGCATCAACAAAGGAATTTATTTCTCAAGTTTGATAAATCTGTAGGCACCTCTCATTTACTAGATCTTGACCTTAAAGAACCTTATAAGCAAAAATTGGATCCAAAACTTTTCGAATAGCCATGTCCTCAAAATTCTAAACAATAAAAAGGGTTTGTAGAGTAAAAGGTGGTAACTATTTTGTATATGACTTTTAATGAATTATTTTTTCACGCCGGGAGCTAGCCGGTCCAGGGCTGTGACTGTTTGATACCTAGAACATTATTTAAATCAAAGTACTGAAAGTACTGAAAAGCGGTTAGCATGCTTTCATCTAATATGTACCGAAAAAAGTGCATGAAATGATGATATTTAAGTATGCATATCTTTGTCCAATGTCATCAGAGAAAAAAACAGACATTCTGTTTTTGTAATACTTTACTTAATAGTAAAACCAATAACATTCCAAACTGATGTCACAGATGGATTCAATCTAATTAAAATTAGATGTTCCGAATCCGCTACTGCTTCTCAAACATCTAACAACATCCTATTTGGGGTCATGTAAGAGTGAATCTTCGATTAGCCAAAGAAAATGGTTCCTCCGAAATATTGGCTTATAGTTCAGATGGGTTTCTTGTTTTCACCACCGAACCAAAACACCCGAGGAGTTTTGTAGTAAACAAAATATGCATTGCATAAGCTGTGAAAGTGTTTGTGTTTACTAGTACATGTATTCATAATCGAAAGGTCGCTCTGATGTGACCCCGAATGGGATGTTAGATGTTTGAGAAGCAGTAGCGGATTTGGAACATTTAAATAAATTTTAATTAGATTGAAATGCTTGTTTCAAAATTTAAACATGAGATTTCTTCAGTTTGAAAGACAGGAAGTGCATTTTTAAAAGTTCTCTCTTGGTGGCATCCAATCGTTCTCTGGATGAAAACAATTATGTTGATGTTGAAAATTTAATTGTCTTTCATGCTCTATTGAATCTGAAGTTAGGTAATTGTAAAGCCTACTATAGCAAGCAACTAAAAAATGACAAATTAAATTCTTTAGATTAATGGATTTGGAGTAGTGTAGATCTACAGCTGGCTAGTCAGAGAAAAAAAGGATGACTGAGCAGAGACTTTGTAAATGAATTGATATCAGAGAACTCCAGTTGTGTAGGCTCATCGCCGGTATAACCTGTCAACGAGGGATGCTTACTTCTTCTAGGCAACGGATCCCACCTCTTGAACTTTCAGGAGTCAGCTTTTCTTCTTAAATCGATCATTGATCATTCTGTATTTTGATATAGATACTGAATACTTCCGTTTAGTAATATTATGAACTACTACTTCTACGGGAAGACTGGCGAGTAAACAAGATTATCAAGCTTTATGAAATGTATTTTATTGACTTTTCAAACAAGTAAATGTTCGAATAAAATAAATGGTATATGAGAATCATTTAAAAGAAGTCTTGCACAATATGTCTAGATAAGGACATATAATGTGTATTTGCCATATGCTCTTCATGCAATATTGTTCTCAAATAAAAAATGTGAAAAGGAAAGTTGTCTAATCAATCAATACTAGTATTTAAAAATTCAAATGTGCACTAAAAGTCAGTGTAACTTAAGAAGTTATCAGTGTCACTTTCTTCAATATGTCGGTTAAACAATATACACCGATTTCTTTTCTATCAATGTGCCTCTAAACACCTGTATTTTAATTTAATTCTACTCAAACGCTCAAAATGATAATCGACAAATTGGATAAATTCAAATTTAAAAAGTATTTTCACAGCTAATAATACGTTCCCTAGGAATTGATCAAATTCTCAAAACTTATAAATAAGCATTAGGTATATATTTTAAATTTTTGCTAATTGCCAAGATTTTTCATACCTCATTCTTCTGTGAATAATAATATCGGTTGATTTTTAGAAGAGGATCACAATGCCGATTAAAATTATTATATATTTATCCATTTTTTTTCAAAATTAATTTTACTACTTTAAGTGCCCCATTATTTTTTTTAAAACTAAAAGTAAGTGATCCCTTATGATCGTTTGTACATGTAATAAATTATCAAAGACGGAGTAGAGAATTTACCCCTGGGAGCAGAGCTTTTATAACTGTTTATTAGACAGAGAAGAAAAGAGAAGAAAACAAACGTTTCACTGTGGAGGTAATCCTATTGTTTCCATAAAAACGTCACAAAAAGTGTAAAACTTACAGATGTATTCGGTGTTTTTATAAAAACGTTTTTCAGGTATTACTTAACTTAATAAATGGTGTTTCTTAATACTTTGGCAAGGAAAATCAAACTCGATCGAGAGATTTGCTGATGTTTTTGCAGTCTGTAATAACCTTCAACCTGCTGTATAATTAACCGTATCGTTCAACTTTCAAAAATAAACTAACAGTTGCTATAAATCGCGATCGCACGATGTACATGTAATAAGGACCAAATTCTCAATTCTTTGAAGTTAGTGTTCTAAGTATTGTCAATGCTTTGGTAAATACTAATAAGAATTCGATATAATAGTTATCATGGTTATAATAGCCAATCTTCGTACACAGCATATTGTCAATCTCTCACCAGGGGGCGTATTACGCCAACAGTATACAAATCATAGGAAGCGCTTTGCTGAAGTTACCGTTGTCGATAGGTAGCGCCTTGTGGAAGTTTCCGGTTTTGGTTGCAGAAGGATAAGGTTACGTGCCATAAAGCGATGTCGATAGGTAGCGCCTTATGGAAGTTTCCGGTTTTGGAGCACCCATGCCATAAAGCGGTTAGCTAGCTAACCGCTTAAAAATTATAAAAACAGCTTCAATTCATTTATTAATGTAAAATGTGAAAAAGCTGGAAAAGATTTAATTTTACGGAATTCAAATTCAAATTCAAAAAGTGAGCTGGATCAGGCTCTAGGGACATGGAACAGACTTAAACTTTAAAGAGTCAAATTTCGATCACCTGACAGAAGTTTATTAAAAAATGAATTCATTTCCTAAATTTGCAGTTGACAATTCTTTTTAAAAAATGATTAAAAATAATTTAATTTTTGGTCTGGCTAAAGACAACAAGATTTTTGTACAATATGAAAAAAATGACTTAACTTAAGAAGTTCCACGATCTTTGCAGGGGCCAAGTGCCTAAAAGAAGCAAGTATCCCTTGTTGAGAAGTCACACCCATTGTGTGTTTTATGTATTGATGAGGTAGAACAGGGTCATGGTAATTAACATACATAGATTTTACGAAATGCTGACATGAAACAAAATCCCTTGTCATTAAACTTATTTGTCAATATCGGATGATCTAACCCCTTCCCCCCTCTCCAGGCCCGTATAGCAACGGCCTTACATCAACAAAAAGCGGGAGGGGTCTAAATGAAAATTTAGTAGGCCTACTATAGCGTCAAAGGGCGGATTATACTCAGAAAAAAGTATCATGTTTATAAAAATGTCATATTACTGTAGTGTACATTTTATACGTGCAAATTTCAGCGATTTTTTTAATTGTTCTAATCATGTCACCCCGGGGGTAGGGTGGGGACATATTCAGACACACATAAAAAAAAACCTTAATGTAAAAAATAAACCATCCTGAAACCAAGTGCCTGTGTAACTGATGGGAAGCTCTACCGAGAATTCGAACCGAAATTTTTAAAACGCGTTGATATAAATTAGTCATTATTATTGGGGGTCAAAGCATAAAGAAGCTGTTTTTATGCACCGCCATTTAAACAGCTGGTACATATAGAGTCAGTTTTCATGTCCGTCTGTCGTCCTTCCGTCTATCCTTCCTTCCCTCTTTGTGTTTAGCTAAGTTCAAAGCTAAGTTTTAAAGATACTATTCGAGATTATTTTCATGAAACTACCTATGCTTAAAAATACATATTGACAAGAGCTATTTCAGTTCAGCAACATTTTTTACCTTTGCCTTCCCTTTGACCTTAACCTAACTTTTAGTGTTTAGTACATGTGTAGTTTTAAAGGAACCATTTAAGATAATGTACTAATCAAGCTTCATATGCTAAAACATACTGATGTAAGTTATTCAACCGCATCAACATTTTTAAACCTTAATCTTTAATTTCTTTTTTTTTTAATTTTATATGCAAACTTCATATTCTAATTCATACTTATGTAAACTATTCAATTGCATCAACATTTTACCTTTCCTTTGACCTTGACCTCGTTTTTCTAATTGACTGTTTATCTCATCAAATAACGTATAAGATATTTTTATCAAATTAAATATGCTGACTTATGTAAGTAAGTGCTGTATTAAAAGTTTTAACCTTGTACGTTCCTGTGACCTTGACCTCACTTGTCTTTAATTTACATTTTGCTAACCTGTAAATATTTTTTTTGAATTTTTTTAATGTAAGCTTATGCACCTGTGCATAATTTGGTGAGAATTTATCATCTATATCTATTATTTGGATGTCAATTTAATTTTAAAGAAAAACTATTCAAGATATTCTCATCAAACTTCATACAGATGTGTGCCAAAAGTGAGGGTAATTTAATTTTTCTCTCTACAAATTTCATTGAAAACAACATTTTGTTAAATCAC